CAGAAATAATCCAGTTTGAGTTCGCTTTAACTGCCCTGGCTCAATGCTGTGGAATTCCGGGAGCTGTAGTTTTGTGAGGCATTTAGCCTTCTTTGTCAGAGAGCTCTAGTGCCACAGTACAGTAGGGAGTTCAGGGAACTGTACTTTTGTGAGACATTAAGGGCCTTTGCAGACCGCGCTTCAACTGCCGTGGTTCAATGATGTGGAATTCTGGGAATTGTAGTTTGGTGTGGCACCAGAGCTTCGCTACCATTCCCAGAATTCCATAGCATTGAATCATGACTCATCAACTGGGGTCAAACCGGATTGTTTCTGCATCCGGAAGAATACTTTTAAAGGCATGCCTCAAGGGATGGTGGGTTCACCAAGAAACGAATTCAGGTCCAAACCAAATACCCCTGCGTTGAAATGACCTCTGCTGCATCTTCACTACAGAAATAATGCGGTTTGATACTGCTTTAGGTGTCATGCTGCAGTACTTTGGAATCCTGGGATTTGTAGTTTTGTGAGCTAGTGAGCCTTCTCTGTCAGAGGGCTCTGGTAGCATAACTAGCTACAGATCTCAAGATTCCATAGCATGGAGCCATGGCGGTTAAAGCAATGTCAAACTGCAGTGCAGATGAAGCCACCGATGCTCTTTTTCCTTTATATTGTTTCCTCAGATGGTGAGCTCTTGAAGTTTCAATGAACCCACCTTTAACATATACTTTTTAAGACAACAGAAGAACACCAGCCATTATCCCCATTTTGTCTATGCCCCTCTCTCTTAATGTCAATGTTCCCCCACTGGGTGACCTTGGGCAAGTCACACTCTCTCAGCCTCAGAAGAAAGCAAAGCCAAACTCCCTCGGAACAAATGAGGCCAAAAAAACAAAAACAAACCCATGCCAGTTTCTCCATAAATTGGAAACAACTTGAAGGCACACAACAACAAGAAAATGTCACAGGGGCTGGACATTCAACACCTGGAAATAATCTAAGGAAAAAGAAGCCTCCGTTTTGGGAGACTTTTCTTGATCCCAGCAACCCTTTGAGGTGACCCATTGCAGCAGATTTCACAATTTCATGGTTATCTTTTCAAATGCTCAATTCACAACCGATCAGAGCACAAGGCCTATTTGAATTTTGATCAAGCAAATGGCATTTTAAAGACTGTCACCCTGGCTTTGGCAGAATGGAGCGTGTTCTCAGACCGGCTTTTATTGAACAAATGAATGATGAACGACAGAAAATGCAATTTATCCTTTGCAAAAGAGCAGCACAATCTGCTATCTCTCTTTTCTGTGGTTGGTTTGATAACATACCAAATCTATATACGGTACTTTTTCCATCTTCCAGCCAAAGCTGCACTCAACCTTTTGTTGATTTCTGAGGGAGGTAAAATACATCAGTAAACTTTTCTCTTTGGATGAAGTAGGAGGGCTACAGTTTTGTGTACATCTACTGAAGAGTAATGTCCATTTAAAACTTAAGTCAGACATTTCTGCTAAAGATGAATAGGATAGAGCTGTGCAGTGTTTAACTTTGGCTGGCTTGGACCCAAATAATTGAAAGTTAAGCCCCTTTCAGCGTGCTTAGGCTCCAGGGTGCTTAGAAGTTATCTAAGGCCAAAGTGTCAAGCTGTGTCACAGTTTGACACCTTTGGCCCTAAACTTAAACTTAGAAGGAAATGCATTACATTCAGTAGGGCTTACTATCCAGTATTGTGTTTTAGGGTTGGTTAAGTCTGGTGAATACCCTTACAAATTGGGAAAAGTGCAGGCATCCTTCCCATGTCACAACTTTAAAAAATAGTACAGCAGAACAGAATTCATTAGAGAAATAATCTTGATGTTTCCACTGTTTTTTCCTCTTTTTGTTGGCTAATTTTACATTTTCTTTACCAGGATAAGAAAGGGCTTACTGGGAAACAAACTAACTTTGAACGCAAAACAGTGTACCAAAGGCATGTCCGGACACCGAGTTTGCTGGCTAAAAGCATTTTGGAAGGTAATACATTCTAGCCCTTGAAATTGTTTATTCTTTATGTACCTCAGTTGTTGCTGCTATAATTGGAGTAAAATGCTTTGCATGGTCACCTTTTTTGTATTACTTTTTTATTTTTTTTAAAAAAACCCTTTTACTAAATTAAAATCATCAACAATAACGAAGACAAACAAAGACAAAAACAAACTAAACATCACAGAGCATGCATACAGAAGACTTCCTGGATCCTTAGTCATGTCATTTCGTTTCTATGCAGTAGTATTTACCTTCCTTCTTGTTCTAAGATTCAGACAGATTTACATCTGCATGTAAACCACTTAATTGCTTTTATTCCTTATTATTTACTATATCAAAATACCGCATTAGTTATATACCTTTATCACAATTTCAATTCTGTCCATCAACTTTCATCGCTATTTTTTTGTATTACTTTGATGATAACAGATTGCAGGAAACAGGACAAACAAGCCCAGTTGTAATAGGCCACAACACAATGCAAATTTTAATGGCCTTAAGCATAAGTAACGCTAAGTTGAATGGTAACCATGGAATAACATGATTGAACCTGGGTTGAAATGGAAACATGT